CACAATTTTTAAAATCTCCATAAAAGGTTATTGTTAAATAACAGGGAACATCCGATTGCTAGTGGTTATACACGTTAGTAATATTTAACTAATAAGTAATATATGTAGGTAAAATTTGTTGTTTTCTCCATCACAGTACCAGTATACGATTTATTTTAATTTAAATGTAAGAAAATAGATTTTTCTTTAGAAAATAACCAGAATTTAATATACAGGATGAGGCAGTAAAACGGCGATTTTCTAATGTATTTAAATGGTAAAACCCGTTTCACTATCCCACCCTTTACATTTTAAGGATCTATGAAAAGGTTTTTTTAGTTGCATTTTATTTTGTACACTGTCAATCTAGTAAAATAGAAGTATAATATAGCTTTGAAATAATATAATCTATGAAGTATAAATAGTTTGTGTGAGATTGCTTTAATGGAAGTACATAATACATAAATATTAATTTTATTGAGAATAAGCGATTATAATTTAAACTATGGAGTACAAACGATTGGAATATGAATCGTCGACCATTCCAACAAAATATAACAAGTCATTGTATATTTCTTATTTAGTCCACTAAAATTATGCAAAAAAAAAAAAACCAGTACAGTGGGGTCGGGGCATAGTGGGGACGGAACATAGTTGGGTCGGGGCATATTGGGGACGGGGAGGTCACAGGTTTACAGGAATTTTTAAATCTGAAAGTGATAAAATCACTTTCGAAAAAACGCTTCGATGCAAATCGGTAGTTAGTATTTTCAAGCCAGTACAGTCCAAACCAAGCACAGTATAAACCAGCAAAGTTAGAAAGTCTTAAATGAAGATTTTGTATTTACAAATGAGCATCAAAGCATTTATTTGAAAGCGATTTTATTCAATTTTATCACTTTTATTTATTATAATTCTTGTAGACCTGTGACCTCTCCGTTTCCTCATTGCTTTGATTACAGAATCTTCATTTAAAACTTTCTAACTTTGCTGGTTTATACTGTGCTTGGTTTGGACTGTACTGGCTTGAAAATACTAACTACCGATTTGCATCAAAGCGTTTTTTCGAAAGTGATTTTATCACTTTTAGATTTAAAAATTCCTGTAAACCTCTGACCTCCCCGTCCCCAATTTGCCCCGACCCCACTGTACTGGTTATTTTCAAACGTTACTACTTGCCACAGATTAATTTTATGTTAATAAAACATTTTGCATTGGCTTATTAGTCAAAGTAGTTCAATTATTTGAGTGACTTTTATAAAAATATAACAACCTGGTTTACGTAGCTGTATTATATTCTTGTTTCAGGGATAAGTGCTGATAAACCCATAAGTAATTATGAAGTTATTCAATATTTATTTAATATCAATACTATATTTAGAATTAATTAATTGAAACTGTTATGGATAAATACAGCAAACCGAGTTCGAATAACTAAATTATTTTTAAAATTATTTTTACAGGTATTCCTAATCCTGCAGATACTACCAAAAGTAATTACAAAGTTAATTACAAAAAATTTAGTAAAGTTTAGTTGGGGAGACTTACTGTTATAATAATTTTAACAACTATTATTTTTAGAGTAATTTTTGGAACAGCGTTTATCAATTTTACCACAAAATACCATTTTTAACGTAATAGATTGTTGACGTTTTATGTTAACAAATACTTATGACTCGACAGACAAAATACGATACTAGTTCTTGTTGTTTGATATACTATCAAGAGCTGGTTGAATCATAGCACTCGTAGCACTAATGACGCTTCATTTATCTTCATTTATCATTGTACTCTTCGCTAATAATTGACATTGGAAACCCCTCCCAGTTATAATTAGAACTTACGGCTTGTTTAAAAGATACATTTTTACACTTTTTACAAGCCTTATGGTTACTCCTATTTGAATGTCTTGACTGGTTCGGCAACGTGTCGAAACACTTGCATGTTCACAAGGCATTTAAGTAGTGTAAATGACGTGGCTCACTATTTACAATAACACATTAACATCTGTGAGACATGGTTTAGGAATTGGAAAATAAAAATAAATCCAGTCACGTTACCTTTGCTCTCCGTCCTAAAACATATCCTGCAGTAATACTCAACAATACAGTTATCACTACTCAAAATGAGACAAAATATGTTAATTTAATATTAGACATACGTCTTACCTGGGGACCTCACTTCAAAGAAAAAAGAAAAAAATCAAATAAACTTGAATCATAAATTCAACCTGCCACTCAAGATTAAATTACTTATATTTAAGTCAATAATACGACTAATATGGGCAAATGGAATTCAAATATGGGGGGAGGACCAGCTAGACATTTAACAATAAGACCAATATAGGCGCTCCAAAATATATCAATACGAATGATTACAAATGCCCCATGGTACATTAATAACAATATAACAAAGGTTGCAACGGGGAAATTTTTAAGATAACAGGTGAACACAAAATGATCAGTTTTTTAATAAACAGCTTTCTGAACCAATAAGCTCCTGAAAATGTAAGCTACAAGCTACAAAATTATTACATATGTTAGGTATTTCAAATACATGTTTAAACAATTTCAAAGTGTACTGAATATAGTTAGGTTCATCAAGGAATAACAGGTCACAAAAAATTTTGTCGAAGACAGAATTAATACACATAAAAAAATTAGATTATTATTAAATTCATTGTGAAGAAAGTATTTTTTCAAACGTTACTACTTGCCAGAGATTAATTTTATGTTAATAAAACATTTTTCATTGACTTATTAGTCAAAGTAGTTCAATTATTTGAGTGACTTTTATAAAAATATAACAACCTGGTTTACGTAGCTGTATTATATTCTTGTTTCAGGTATCCGTGCTGATAAACCCATAAGTAATTATGAAGTTATTCAATATTTATTTAATATCAATACTATATTTAGAATTGATTAATTGAAACTGTTATGGATAAATACAGCAAACCGAGTTTAAATAACTAAATTATTTTTAAAATTATTTTTACAGGTATTCCTAATCCTGCAGATACTACCAAAAGTAATTACAAAGTTAATTACAAAAAATTTAGTAAAGTTTAGTTGGGGAGACTTACTGTTATAATAATTTTAACAACTATTATTTTTAGAGTAATTTTTGGAACAGCGTTTATCAATTTTTAACATTTTACCACAAAATACCATTTTTAACGTAATAGATTGTTGACGTTTTATGTTAACAAATACTTATGACTCGACAGACAAAATACGATACTAGTTCTTGTTGTTTGATATACTATCAAGAGCTGGTTGAATCATAGCACTCGTAGCACTAATGACGCTTCATTTATCATTGTACTCTTCGCTAACAATTGACATTGGAAACCCCTCACATCTTACCTTTCCGATAGGAAACATTGCACTTAAGTGAACAGAGCAGTTTCTGAACCTTCTACTATCTCCTCAAGCGTCTATCAATGGGACCACCTTAGTCCTCTTTATTTCGTTAGCTCATTAGAGGGACTTTTGCAAAAACAAGAAGTTTTTTTTTTTTGCAGACGACATGATATATATTTTCATTAGTATTGCTTTTTCCGCGGATTATTGAAACCTACAAGCTGAAGTTATTTTATTTCTTGACTGAGCTCATCTCCTTGGTTATTATGAAAAATTTAGGCGCTATAATTCTCTTCTACGTGGTTTATGTACTTCGTAGTATTCCACTGAAACGAGTATTTTCTATTAAAGATCTTGGCCTTCACTATACTTTGTGTATAAATGCGGTAGCTATCAGGACCTTAAGAGCCATTGGCTTAATGCTAATACTATAATTTGAACTATACTGTATAGTTTTTTGTTCATTGTTTAAGATATTATTGTTTGACTGATTATTGCACTTCTATATTGTACTTTGTATGCGATATTTTTGTACATTTGTGAAAAAAATGCGTATTAGTGATTTAAATATCAAAATAAAATATAAATACGATTATATTATTAAATACTGTATTATAAACCAGTTTATTTATAAATTTATGCAGGTGATGGAATTTCGAAATGTACCACATTTAATAATGCGAGAAAAATTCTTACAAGAAAACTTTGTTGTAAATATAAATATACAATTTTAATGTATTACTTTTTACATAATCAATTTATTTTGTACTATATTGATAATTTGAGGTTTTTTTTTAGAGATAATTAAATTTTTTGTGTAACAGTATTACACATATATTTTAATTTATTTCTTGAGCGTAGGGGGGAAAGGGACTTTATCGACTTAAAATCAACACTATATTTGGCATTGATTAATTGAAACTGAGATGAATAAATACAACAGACCGGGTTTAATTAACTAAAAAATGTTTTAATATTTGTTTTACAGGTACTCCTGCGCATGCTGATGAAAACAATAACATTTACAAAGATGGTAGTAAATATATAGTATTGCTTGTTTGAAAAATACAATTTGCTTATCAAATTCTTTTGTTCACACAATAATAACTAAAAAGTTAAATTTTAGTTGGGGAGCCTTAATAACATTTTACCACTATTATATTTAGGTTATTATTTTAAACGGCGTGTATCAATTTTTAAGAATACACTTATGCTCAAGAAGCGGTTTCTGATCCTTCTATTACGACCTAAACATTTTTTTAGTATTACCTTATCAGTGGATGGTTGCCTACTACATATTGAACTTAGGTTTTTTCTGTATTTGGCTCATCTCCATGGTCTGGCACTGTATGTTGAAAAATGTCATATTTTGTCATTTTCCTGGAACCGTATTCCGCTGCTGCACGATTTCTTTCTTCATGGTCTTCAACTCCATCGAGTTTTTTCTATTAATGATCTTAACACCCTATGTACGCCTTCTCTACATTTTAGAGATCACATAAACGCGGTAGCTAAAAAGGCTTTAAAAGTCATAGGTTTTGTGTTAATATTATATTTTGCATTCATTAATTGGTCAAATGATTCTCATTTTTGAGTTACTACTATGGATACATACAACATCACGGTTTGACTAACTATATAATTTATTTGTTACAGGAAATTATGTTAGAGGTAGTACTGTGCATAATGATGAATACAATAGAATTTACAAAGCTACTAGTTAGTATTAATCAGAACATATGACTTATTTGAAAGATAAAATTTGCTTTATATATTATTATATTGTTCACATAACAATTTACTATAAGTTTGGGAGACTTGTTTTAAGGGTTCTAGAATGAAATAGTAATTTTTGCAACCTTACTAAACTTAGAATCAGATAAAAATTGAACGAATACATAATACATTTTCAGCATACGCGCCTTTTTACTAAAATCTGATCTCTATTTTATTTGTTCACCCCTTCTAGGCTCCATCAATTTTAGGCTTCATCCTGATATTATAATTTTCAAATTTTTGTAAGTTCCTTCCCTCTGTTTGTACTTATTAGGACATTAAATATTAAAAATAAAACATATAATTACGAATACATTAATCTTTTTGAACCAGTTATTAATATAAACATTTATGTAGGTACCGAAACTAACAATTACCATAATTTTTTGCGTTCCTTCCCACTCTGCTTGTACTTATTAGGGTGTTAAATTAAAAAAATCAGAATACATACGAATATATTAATAAATATTATATTTTCAAACCAGCTATTTATACACTTATGCAGATACTGAAACTTTAAAATTGACCAAACTTGGAAAGGCGAGAAGAGATCTTACTGGAGATGCTATTATAAATGTGCTTACCAAAAAATTAGGTGATTATAAATAAAAAGATTTAATATTATTTTTTTTTTTTAATAACATTTATTTTTACATCATGATTCATTTTCAATAACACAGTATTTTATAGACTACTTAACACAACTTAAACAAAATTTAATTTTTTGTTTATTTATAATTTTTACAAATATACTTAATATTTATTATAAAATTTTTAATTTCAGCTCTTTTGTTCTAATCGTGTTTATAGTGACCCCTGTTTAAAGTGTTCACATGTAAAACTTTTCAGCTTTCTAAAAAAAAATATTTAAATAATTTAAAAATTTTGGACAACACAAAAAAATTACCTTTATAAATTACAAACTCATTTTAAATAACTATTAATACAAAAAAATGCTTAATTTTTTTTTTTATTACTGAGATTTTTTACAATTATACATGTTTTATATAATTGTATTACTTATTTCATTTACGTTTAATAATTTTGTCAAATTAATTAACATCAATTGCACAAATAAGAAAAATAGTGGCTAATAATTGTTAATTTTGGCAATTTTTAACAACTGTATTCTGTTTTTTTAGCTGACAAGAAGTGTTCTATTCACACATTTAATGTACAATTTTTCAGGTTTCTAAAGAAAATTCTTAAATTTTGGGCAACAAAAAAAACATATTTATAAATTATAAACTCATTTTAATTGAGTGTAAATAGTAAACAAAAAAAAATTATAATTTTTTTCAGAAAGCTGAGATTTTTACTATTTTACATAGTAAATATATTTGTATAACTTGTTTTATTTACGTTTAGTAATTGTGTCTTGCACTGAAAGGATTTTATTTTTAACAACTGCTTTTTGATTTTTTAGCTGAAATCACCTCGATTGATGAAGTTGACAAGGAGTCTCCTGTTTATAGGATTTGTACTTTGATAGCAATGTGGGTTAGTCTTAAAATTTCTTCAAACACGTCTTATTTTTTAATTCCATATGATAATGTATGTAAGGTAACACTAAAAGGGGGTGTTGTAAAATACAAATCACTTGAAGGCGAATATTGGCAAGTAAATGCCGTTACAAAAAAAAAACTAAATGTACAACTACGCGAGGATATCAGTACTCCGCTTGAGTTAAGTAGCGAATAATACTAGATATCAATCGTTTATTTATTTTAAAATTAGATTTAAATAAATAATTAAAGTTTGCATATTGCACTAAATTAGTTTATTTGATATATGCTTATTAATTGTTATTATTATGTAGTTTCATTATCATTAGTATTCCCATTATTATCATTATAATTATCAGCCGATTGTCATATGTAAAATAAAATAAATAAATGATAAAATAAACGCTTTTGTTCACGATTTTAAACACATTTGTTGCGAATTATTATTGATATTATGGCGATCAATCTTATCGTGTCTACCTTAGTCCAAAAAATAATTTCTAAGCACATAATGGTCATTAGGTACAATGTTTTTGTTGTTATTTGTATATTGACATAAGTCTTTTTTATCTATGAACATCCATTATTTTTCTCTGAAACATAAAAATATAATCTAAATGAACGTTTTTTTAATAATGTAATCTATAAGGTATTGATGTAAGAGGACCAATCTAATGAAATACTACTACTAGGTAATACTCACTTACATTCTTACTTTCTTACTGTGTTTGGACTATACTGGTTTGACCCTACTATCCACAGATTCACATTGTAGCGTTTATGTTATTCTATCAATTGAATGTCGTACAAATATTATACTTTGTAAGTGTTCGTGTTTTTTCTCTATAACATAAATATAAAATCTAAACTAACGTTTAGTAAATTTTTGATATTATGCTCAAAATGTAATTGATATTAGCGGACAAATCTAATGAAATTTTTTTGTTTTTAATGACAATGATTTAACAATGACTTAAATTCCACAATTCATCAAACTATGATATTTTTGAACTTTCTTAAACATAAGCCCAAAAATTTATTTTAAAATGAATGGTTGAACTTTAAATACTTTAATTGATGGGTAGCTCTTTGAATAGTGAAAATCGATTTTAATATACTCAGGAGTTTTGAATTTTTTTGTTGTCTGGGTAATTATGATTTAAATTTATAGATACAAAACAATATTCACGTTTGGAAATTTTTTTTAAAACTAAGTTCTTGATTGTTTAGACTTTTCTATGGATATAATGGTTGCGGCCAATGGAGGGAGTGAGAGCAAGAACTTGGAATAGGATATTAGTATTAAATAAGTAGGAAGAAACGCGAAAAGATTTAATACAAATTATATAGTTAAACCAGTTTGTTATATTTATAACAAGTAAATTATCATGTAGAACAAAAAATCGGTAACAATTTGAATTAACATAAGGTTGAAATAAACTTTATAACGCAAGTTGAATGCATATTATATTAATAATTAAAGTTATAAGGGTTCTGCATGCATTTGTATGACTAAAAGGGTGAAATAACATTATTTACACTGTTATGTTATGTGATAGTACAGGGGTGATTAGCTTATCTTAAACCACTCAATATATTACTGGGTTGAAATAACATTGTTTATATTGAAAGAAATTATATTTATTCTTAACGTAGTGTTTTTATGCAATGGGGTCTCAGTTTTTCCTTACTTTTTTTTTTGTTTTAACCCCCTTCCAGCTCACGTTTTTCTGATAACAACTTTTAAAATTTAACGCATATATTTCATAAACTTTTCAAATTGAGAATAATGTACTAAAATTTTTCTGAAGTTCAATTTTTTGTGGATTATTTTTAGGTGCATTTTGCCCGGGGATACATTCAGCGTTATAGCAACGTTGTTCGTTTATTTACAAAGCTGTTTTTTAGCATCGACGCCGAGCTAGTATTCCCATAATGTTTGTTTTTTTTGTATCTACAAAAACGATTACATGTTTTACTATGGCCCGATTTACTTTAGGTATCCAAAGTTATATGTGATTGGTAACTCAAAAAGGGAAAAAGCCAACTTCTTCACCCCCAGAACCACAAAAACCTAAAAATAAATTTTCGGTCAATATTTAACTTTCTATCATAGCGAAAAACTATCGAATTGAGTCAAAACTGTAATAGAATGTTTAGCAGGCATATCCCTATACACCAATAACCTCAAATCAGCGCTCACCACAAATATACCAAATATAAAATATAGTTTTATTCATTATTCTTAGACAAACATATTCAAAATTCATAGTTATATCCAAAAATAGACAACATATAAATTACAATTCATTTTAACTGATTCTTATAGACAACATTACTGTGATTAGTGACTACAGCACAGAATATTATAACCGGATCCTACTAACTTTGAATCACTGTTTGAGAAAATACATGTTTCCTAAATCAGTACAGATTTTATTTTGCGATTTTTTGTTAATTATTTCTAGATGATTTAAAAAATGTGGTAGTTTTATGTTCGGTAGTTATAATAAGTACCTATACAATTTAAATGAAAAAAACAGTACAGTGAGGTCGGGGCATAGTGGGGACGGAGCATAGTTGGGTCGGGGAATTGTGGGGACGGGGATGTTATAGTTTTACAAGAATTTTTAAATCTGAAAGTGATAAAATTACTTTCGAAAAACGTTTCTATGCAAATCGGTAGTTAGTATTTTCAAGCCAGTACAGAATAAACCAGAAAAGTTAGAAAGTTTTAAATTAAGTTTCTGTATTTACAAATGAGCATCAAAGCGTTTATTTGAAAGTGATTTTATTCAATTTTATCACTTTTATTTATAATAATTCCTGTAAACCTGTGACCTCTCCGTTCTTAAAACTATATTTTATATTTGGTGTATTAATTATATGAATCCATGTTTCATTATATTTTTTTTATTTTATATCAATTTAAAAATCAAATACCATTTTTAAGAAAATAAGTCCTGTGGGGGAGTGTAGAATTATTGAAATTTTGATTTGAGGATATTGGTGTATAGGGATGTGCCTGCTAAACATTCTATTACAGTTTTGACTTAATTCGACAGTTTTTTATTAAGCTATAGAAAAATAAAGTTGAAAGTTGCAAAACTGCCAATTCTTTTTGTAGGTTATTTCGGTTCTGGGGTTCAAGAAGTTGACTTTTTTTACTTTTGACCCACCAAAGTTACAGTGAAAGAGTAAAAAATTGGTTCTATGATAATTTGTGAAAATGTCTTATTTCAAAATTTCTATATATTGGTTATTATACTATTATTATTCTTATTGTATACCCTCTATACTCCAAAACAGTTTATTGCTTTTTATTATTATTATTATGATTACTTTTTTTCAGTTTGTTATAATCATATTCCCTAGTTTAATTGTATTTTTGTTGTTGTTATTTTACATAATTATTTAACATCTTGATACGTATCTCTGCTCTACGATAAAAGGTTCTACCTCAGTGTCGAGCAAAGCTAGTAATTTCATTATCTATTTAATCTACCTTGTATCATTTCTACTACTAGCAAATAAAGATTATTATTATTATAATTTAAAATCAAAATTTTCAACACAACTTAAAATACTTATGCAACGCTTACAAAAATAGTTAATATTTTGTAGGTATGGATGACTAATCAATACATTATAACTAATTGATTACAAAATAGGTTGCTATATATTTATATTTTTTTTTTTTTGGTATATATATATTAAATCTTTAAGTCATATAATTTGAGAGGGGGTAAAACCAAAACATTTTTTGAAGAATTGAGATCACATTATAAAAACATTTTGGAAAAAAAAATGCAATTTATAATTAAACCCAGTGAGATGTTGAGTGGTACACGATAAGTAAATCACCCTATATAATATAAATGTTTAGTACTGTTTTTTTATCCGAGAAACCTATAAAATCAAATAACACGTTTATAAAATATATGTATTGAAAATAAAATGATTCATACCTAATACTCACCATGTTTAATATGCCTCACCGCATCTACGATTGCTTTTGTTTTGGTAAATTAAATAACAGGTTAGCAAAAATTTTAACTCCTCTAAATAACGTAAATATGTTTGTCATCAAAATAAAACTATGTT